GGCCAGTGGGAGGCAGAGCCGCCTTCCAGGCTGACGAGCAACAGGAGTCCACGCGTGGGAACACGCGGAACCACGGTGTGCTTGAGGGCTGGCGGCCGCCTGGCGGGCTGAGCCCAGGGACGCAGCGGGACTGTGACCTGCCAGGGAGTCGAGCGCAGGTTGGGGGCCGTCGGCCATCTCAGGAAGGAGTTGGGTTGAAATCTGTGGGCACCACGGAGGTGTTTGAGCAGGGTGGGCACAGTTGGAGGCTTGCTGTAGGAAGAAGATGCTGCTGCTGCCAGGGGGAAGCGCAGCGTGCTCTCCGGCCCTTCATCCGTTCTGTGATTCCTGCTCTGCGTTTGGGGAACGGACAGCTTTCATCTTCCCCCATCCAGAATAAATAAGAAGGCTTGCAGCGGCCACCGCCCTGCCTGAGCTTCTGGCCCACCCCTCGTCTAGCGGGCAAAACTCACAGCTCTCCAGGAGAGCATGACACGCCAGTCCCAGCCCTCACCCCTCGGCACAAAAACAACAATAATGGTAATAGCAGTCATCTCAGCGATCAGCGTGGGCCCAGCAGGGCTGCAGGGAAAGCTGTGATTGTCCACCCCTTGCCTGGAAGATGGACGGGGCCTGCTGCTGAGGGACTGAGGCCACCACGGAGATGTGTCACCAGCCCTGTGCGTCTCAGGGGCGTTTGTAGCCTACTGAGTGGATCCCCGCCCCAACCAGGGCCCCTGGGCTGCAGGATGGGGTACGCTGCCCCAGGAAGGGGTACATGGCACCCAGGGTGGGATATACTGCCCAGGATGGGGTACCCGGCCTCAAGGATGGGTCCACAACCCGGGGGATGGGGTCCATGGCCCAGGACGGGGTAGATGGCCCCAGGATAGGGTGTAATACTCCAGGGCAGAGGACATTACCCCAGGATGGGATACAAGGCCACAGGATAGAGTTCATGGCCCCAGGTTGGAGTACATTGCCCAAGAATGGGATGCAGGGCTAGTTCATGAGAGATTGGACCCCCAGCCAGCACCCAGCTATGATTCTGCCTGCATCCAAAAGCAAGCACTACTGGGTTTGGGCATTGTGAGGTTTTGATTAGCCATGCTTTTTCCTGTCCATTAGTACACATAATTAAGAATTAACTGGCTATACTCTCTCCCCTCTCTGTGGCTCACAGATCTACATGACTTTGGGGTCTGTTGTCGCCTAGCACCCCTAGACAGTTGGCAGGACTCATTTGTTTACCCAGCGGCTCTTTATTGAGTGCCCCTGGAATGCCAGCCCCTGTGTTAGGTTTAGGGGTACAACAAGGAACATGACAGGCCAGGCCGTGGCCCCCATGGAGCTAACACGGGGGTGCTTGTATGACAGGCAGGGCGCTGGGGCAGGCAGTCTACAAGTCAGGTGAACAAACACAATCAGCTCAGAGCAAGGAGACCTGTGAGGACAGTGACACAGGATGCAGGGACTCGGAGTGGCGGGGCGTCCCTTTAGATAGACTCTCTCTGTATGATCAAGTATTGGGGAAGGCCTTTCTGAGAAGGTTACTCTTGGGCTGAGAGGGGAATAGTGAGGAAGCTGGCAGGGTAGAGACATGCCCAGCAGAAGGCACAACCAGGGCAAAGGCCCTGGGGCAACCACGAACTGTTGGGGAACAGAAAGAAGGTCCAGGTCTGGGAGGGGTAAGTCCGGGAGCTTGTGCGAGATGCAGTGGGAGGGTGCTGCCTCAGGCCAGATGGCTGGGGCCTTGGACATAATCTGATTTAGGTTTGGGCTTTAAATTCTTTAATTGTGGTAAAATATAACAAAAAATTTTACCATCTTAACCATTTTTTTTTAAAAGATTTTATTTATTTATTTGACAGAGAAAGACACAGCGAGAGAGGGAACACAAATGGGGAGTGGGAGAGGGAGAAGCAGACTCCCTGCCGAGCAGGGAACCCGATGCGGGACTCGATCCCGGGATTCCAGGATCATGACCTGAGCTGAAGGCAGCCGCTTAACCATCTGAGCCACCCAGGCGCCCCCCATCTTAACCATTTTTAATGTACAGTTCTGGAGTGTTCAGTACATTCGTATTGTCATGCAAGAGATCCCCAGAACTCTCTCCATGTTGCAAAACTGAAACTCTATACCCATTAGACAACAATTCTCCATTCCTCTCCGCCCCCCCCCCCCCCCCCCCCCCCCCCCCCCCCCCCCCCCCCCCCCGCCCCAGCCCCTGCATCCACCCTTCGACCTTTGGTCTCCGTGAATTTGACTACACCGGGTATCTCATGTAAGGGGAATCATATAGCGTTTGTCCTTTTTTGATGACTTACTTCACTCAGCCAAGTGTCCTCAAGGTTCACGTGTTGCAGAGTGTGTCAGAATTCCCTTCCTCTTTAAGGCTGAATAATATTCCATTGTATGTACAGACCGCATGTTGTGGACTCATTCTCCCATCAGTGCACATGTGCGTTGCTTCTCGATTTCGGCTGTTGTGAGTAACGCTGCTACGGGCATGAGCATGCGGTGACTTCAGCTCTTTAAAGTTCCACTTTGTCCCCATGAGGAGAGGCTTGGCCCCCGCCTGGGTTGGGTTGGCACAGAGCTGAGGGGGCCAGCCTTGCGGAGTTACCCTTCCCCGGGAGGGTAGAGGTGGGGGGGCCAAGAACAGAGAGTTCTCCTGCAAGCGCTGATTGAGCCAGGAGCCCTCAGACCGAGCCTTTAAATCATCCTGGGGCCGGAGGAGCTTTTCTCTGCATCTACAATGGGAGCCATAAACCAGGCTGACTTACAGACGGTACGCACCAGTCCGGTTGTTTATGGCCGGCATCCTTTCTGATTGGTTGATTGGGCCTGTACTGTGCCCATTGTTAAATATTTGAAGATCACCCTGCTATAAAGCAGTCTCAGGACTTCCCAGCCTGGCTGGGCATCAGGGTCTCTTGCAGGGAGAGTGGGGCTGCTGTATAAAAGTTCACACCCTGGGCTCCCCCCTCCACCCCCGGGGCCAACTGAGTCAACAGGGCCTGGGGGTCTATACTGTTACTTCCTGGGTGATTCTGATGCCACAATTTTAGGGGGTATCTTCTGTGGGTTCCCCCCCAAAGCAGGCCTGGTGATGAGGGTTCAGGTGCAAATCGTTTGTTGGAAAGGGGGTTCCAGGAAACGCAGGTGAGGAGTGAGGAGGTGAGACAGGGAGGTGAAGATGCAGGACCAACCAAGTCAGCACCGCAGGCCGCTGGGGGTGAGTCCCAGTGGGGAGCTCTGAGAGGCAGCGTACAACACGCCTCTGCATTAGCCCCCCGAGAGGTAAGGGAGCTGGAGTGGTTACCTGCCATCTCTTTATCCACCACCTTGCATCAGTCATTCTTCGAGCAGTGCTGCTGGGGCTCTTAGTCCCTGGCACGTCCAGCCTGTCCGGGGTGGGGGGAGCAGTCTCTGATGGCCAGAACCCTCAGCAAAGAGTCCCAGGTTGGCACTTGGAGGACGGGCTGGCGTCTGTGACAGTGGGATGTGCTGAGGCCTAGCGGGCTGGGTACCAGTAGCATCTGGGATGGAGGGCTGCCCAGCTCCCATCTCTCTACCGTGCAAGGGGTTGTCTAGCCCCAGTCAATCATGGAGTATCCTTCCTACCCTTGAAAATCGCTCCGGGCCTCATCCACTGCTAGTGGGAATGTAAATGGGGCGGCTACTGTGGAAAACAATTCGGTAGCTCCTTAATAGGTTGAATGTAGAATTACCCAGGACCCAGCAATTCCACTCCTCGTTCCTGGTTCCTGCCCACAAATGTTCACGGCAGCGCAATTCACAACAAGCAACCCAAAAATCCATCAACAGGTGAACGGATACAAAAAATGTGGTCTCTCCCTACAAGGAAATGTGACTCAGCCATAGGAAGGGATTACATACTATGTTACAACATGGATGAACCTCGAAGACTTTATTCTGAGTGAAAGAACCCAGACACAAAGACTAAGACTACCCCCTCATAGCATCTCATTTATATGAAATATCTGGAACAGGCAAATTCAGAGAGACGTTCAGTGGCTTTGTGGTGGCCAGGGAGAGGGAGGGACGAATGGGGAATTCTTGCTGAGTGGGTATGGGTTTCCTTTTGGGGGTGATGAAAATATTCTGGAAGCAGATCGTGGTGATGGTTGCACCACACTGTGAACGTACCTAATATGGCTGAATTGTATATGTTAAAATGGTTAAAACGATGCATTTTGTGTTCTATCTATTTTATCACAACTTTGGAAGAAAACACAACAAAATTCCAGGTATTTCACAGTCTGCATCGGAGGGCATATTATCTGCTTCTCAGGTGGGAAGCAAACCTAGAGTGTGATGTGTGTACCCTAGGGCCCCACAGCCAGGGATGATTCTCCTGAGTGGCTGCAGCTAGGACCACTGGGCTAGAGTGGGGCTCCACAGATTGGCCTCATTCCTGCGTGAATGGTGCAAACAGGGGTGGCTGGAAGGCTTCCTGGTGGAGAAAAGAGCTCTGTGTCCAAGAGAAGCCAAAGCGAGGCCCAGCTTCTGCGGAGTCGCAGAACAGCCCTGGGCGGGGGAGTTTGTGCCCAGCTGGAAAATTGCGGGGCGTCTTGTCTTAAATATAATATTAAATCAGCACCTTTAATTAGTACACTTAGAAAAGGTCACTAGCAATTACCTGGGACACAAAGAAGGCATAAGCAGGCAAGAGCCTGTGAGGAAGCTGAAAAGGACCATTTTGAGCAGCACATAATTGAAGGGAAAATGGATAAAAGTCCAGGAAATTATAGGGTGGGTGACAGCAGCTGATGGCCCCATCCATGTCCTGCCCAGTGCCCCCCTTCTTGGAAGGGCCTGAGCATTGGGCCTGAGAGAGCCATTTGGGATATCTGGCTGAGTCATATGACCTTGGCTGGAGGGCCAGTGTGGTCTTTTCCAGAACTCGGCCAGCAGAGAGCTTGGTCCCATATCCCCGAAGTGGGCTGGATCCTGATGGTGGTTGGCAGGTGAAGTGTTCACTCCAGGGGGCCGCCATGGACTTGTCATACTGTGCGCAGGCGGGACCGCTTGGGGCCTCAGGTTCCTCATATGGGATCTCCCCAAAGCATTAGGAAATAGCTCAGGGCTCCCCAAACTTTGCCGCTAAAGCACACCTGAGGGGAACAGAAAGGAAATGTGCATCCCGGGGGGAGGCTGGAAGTTCTTTTATAGCTTTAGGTTCCATTTTTAAAAATAAATTGTTACATTGTGTTACATTGTGTTCAGAAATATCCCGGTTTATTTTAGTATAAAGCGATTGCTTGCCACTGAACAACACAGATGCTTTGAGGAGATGCGCTTGGTTTATCTATGACTTCATATACCTCCTCCTTCCTCAACCAGAAGCAGCCCTGCACTGGGAGTCTGGAAATTTGGGTTCTAGCTATGGACTCTGTCCCACACCATTGTACTTTGGGAAACTGGCGAAATGCCTTCAGCTTCTCCATCTTTAAAATGGGAAGTTTGGGCTCCCCAAAAGGTCTCTGAGGTTGTTCTGACTCTGTTCCATGATTTTACTCCTCTTCCTCCTGCTTCTCACCTCCTCCCCATCCCTTTGGCTACTGCCATATCCTGCTCTGCTGTGACCTTGGAGAGGACACTTTGCTTCTCTGATCCTCAACTTCCTAATCTGTAAAGTGGGTAGAATAATGGCTACCAAAAGAGTTGCTGGGAGGATTTAATGAGAGAACCTGGGTGAATGAGCCTAGTACTCCGTCTGGCATATCCGCAGAGCCCAGTGATTGCCCAGTATCTTCCAAGTGTTAGGCTTCCAGTTAGGGTCTGAGAGAATCATGTCCATAGAAGTCCTGAATCTTGAGTTCACGTGTCAAGTGTTGAGATGTGTCAGGTTGTGGAAACAAACAAGGGCTCTGGACCCAGAATGCCTGGGATCTGAATTCTAGCTCTGCCGTTTACTAACTGTGGGCCATGATCAATTACTTAATCACTCTTTGTGACACTGTGCACTCATGACATTTTGCACAGTTCCCGGAGGTGCAGGGACCTCCTGAAGCTAAGGCGGTCCGCCTGTCCAGTTGTCTGGGACCTTCTGGTTTTAGTATGTGTCCTGCCTCCATCCCAGACAAACCAGGGGGTGGGTCACCCTGCCCAAAGCCTACCTAGGGAGGGCTGTGATCCCCGGGTGGGCGGGGGGGAGGTACCCTACACTAGGGCTTCTTAGGCAGGGCTGTAGGCCAGGCATCCTGGGGGCCTCTGGCCAGGGCTGTGTTTCCTGGGGAACAGGGACACCTCAGTCCTCTTCTTGTGAACAGAAACCACACCCTGAGCCCAGTTCTGGCCTCGATTTCCTGCAGGCTGGGCCACATCTTCCTAATCTCTGTTTACCTCAGCACTTAGCACAAGGCCAGCACCTAGTCACTGTTGGGTAAACGCCAAGTATTGTAATACGTTGTGAATTAGAAAGGGTGCTTCCATTTGCAAAAAGCAGAAATCCAACTCAACGGACTCAGGCCAAAGAAAAAAATGTGAGGGGAGGCAGATTTATTAGCTCATATAGCTGAGAAGTCCAGAGGTTGAAGCTAAACTCAGGCACAGCTGGCCACACGCCCTCAAACGGAGTCTCTGTGCACCGTTTGGCTCTGTTTTCCTCCTGCTGGCCTCATTCTCAGGCCGACCCTTCCTGGGCGGTGCCAGAGATGGGTGCCTGCAGGGCCCAGGTAGCCACCCCGGTGGAAGGAGGGCTCCCCTTTCCCAGTGGTTCCAGCACAAGTCCCAGGGTTGGCTTTGACTGGCTTGTTTGGGACCCGTGCTCATCCCTGAAGCAATCCCTGCGACCAGGGAGATGGAATGCTCTGATTGGCTACGGCTGAGTTACGTGTCCATCCTGGAACAGAAGAATTGAAGGGGCCTACCCTCATCTGAGCCACGTGGAGGAGGGAGTCTCCACACTAAACTCAGAAAAAAAGGGGGACAGGCCCAGATCACAGCTGTCCGTTAGCCTCCTAAAACATGGTGAGCCACAGTTCTCTGTGACGGGCACATACACGCTGTGACAAGTGGCCAAGGTAGGGCCAGGGAGCCGGGGTCAGAGCGCAGAGAGGCCCCGTGACCTGCTGGCGGTCTGTGGGGTGGCGGCTTCCGCTGGGATTCAGCTGCCTTAGCAAGGTGCGGAGGAGTAGACCAACCGCCTGGAGTTGCCCTCTGATCTCTCCCACGGCTGTTCCAGGTTCTTCTGTGACGCAGTTGCTGGCCCGAGACATGGACAATGACCCGCTGGTGTTCGGAGTGTCTGGGGAGGAGGCCTCCCGCTTCTTTGCCGTAGAGCCTGATACAGGTGTGGTGTGGCTGAGGCAGCCGCTGGACAGAGAGGTACGACCTGGCCGCACCCCTGTCCCGGTTCTTTCCTGGGGGGCAGAGGCAGACACTGTGCAAGGCTGGCTCATCATCTTTCAGGGGCCTTCCTCTGAGGCCCCATCCTGACCCCGAAGTAGCATCTTCCTGCCGAAATGGTGTCCCTCTTCCAGGGCCAGTGCTGACGTCGGACTTGGGGTTGGAATGGGGTGGTTGGGGTGTCTCCAAGCAAGGGAGAGCCCTGGACGGCCAAGAAGGACAGTGACCCAGGGTTCATCCCCCGTAGAATGGTGGCTCCGTGGTGTTTACAGGTCCACCCCCGGGAACAATGTTCCCCTAAAGGACACTTTCCAGAGACCCAGGAATTGGTGACAAGGCCGCCCTTAGCAAATTAAGGTATGAGTTTGAAACCCCAACCTTTGTTTTCTCCTCACACTTGAAGAAGGGGCCTCAGGGGTGTCTAGTGACTTGCTCAAGATCACACAGCAGTTTAGAGGCCGAGCCCAGGTGAGAGCCCAGGGCCCAGGACTCAGGACGTCAGCGTGCCTCTCTCTAACTCTGCCTTCTCCCTCCCTCCCTTGTCTTTCAGACCAAATCTGAGTTCACAGTGGAGTTCTCTGTCAGCGACCACCAGGGGGTGAGTGTCTCCTGAGGCCCCTGCTGTCCTGGGAGGCAGACGCCCGGGGCCTTGGGCAGAAAGAGGCAAGGGGCCCATGCCAACACTAAATCCCCACTCTTCTCTTGCCAGGTGATCACACGGAAGGTGAACATACAGGTTGGGGACGTGAACGACAACGCACCCACATTTCACAACCAGCCCTACAGCGTCCGCATCCCTGAGGTAGGAGCCCGCAGGGTCGCGCTTGAGGGACGGGGCTGGCGGGGGCGGGGTGTGGCACTGCCGCTCCAGGGCTACCTGGGAACGGGCTGAAGCTGGGGAAGGGGCAACTGCAGCTCTGCTTCTGCCGCCCACCCCGCAGCCCAAGTGCCAGCTCTGGGCAGGTTGGCGACCGGGCCGACACCTCCGAAGGTAGAGTGGGTTAGTGGTAGCCTCAGGTCTGATAGAAGGCCTGCCTGGGATGAGCCCCACAACTCCAGCTGGAGGCGGGGCAGGACAGGAGCTGGGAGGAGCAGGTGGTGTGGCCTCTTTCCTTCCACGCATAGCCAGTGTGGGCCTCGGGCACGTGGATTGGCAGGCCCGACCCCAGACTTTCCAGCTGTGGCCAGAACCACCCCCCCACCCCCCGCCAGGACACAGGAAGCAAGTAGCTCCAGGAAGGGACTTTCTTTCCCTAGCCTTATGCTTGCCCCCCATCTCCCTGGCCCTCTCTGCTCCTTTGGGTCGTCTGTGTACTCTGAGTGTGTTTGCATGAGTGCATGCATGTAAAACCAAGCCATCGCCGGTAATTGAGAAGTACAAATTATTGCATTACAAACGGTTCATTAATAAGCTGGCTGCTGGCTCCCAATGGAACTAGGGTTCTCATGGCTTACTATCCCTCTCCCAGTGACTGATGGCAGTGTTCTGGGCTGGCAGTTAGCCATTCAAAGACCTTGAAGGTGGTGGGTAAAGAGCTTCTGCTGGGTGTCCCTCGGGCCTGCCCTCAGGGCTCTGGGTTGAATGGCAGCAATAAGGGGTTGGCCTGGGAAGGACTGGAGATGGAATCCACCGGGGAGAGGCAGGTCAGCACCACGGCGTTTGAGTTCCAGCCCCTTTATATTATATGTCACTGGATCAGGAGACTGGAAGAGTCTTTAGAAAATATCTGTTCAGTTTGTGGATGAGAAAACTGAGGCTCAGTATGGGACAGTGACTTAGCCAAGGTCACACAGCTTTGACCCTGAGCCTCCTGACTCCCAGGGCAGCCCTCAGATTCCCTCCAAGGTGGTGATACCTTGTCTCATGCTGTTCCTGTTCCTGGCCCTCCTCACTCAGCTATGAGCCAGTGGTCCTATGGTTGTGCCAGATGGAGGAAAGTGAGGACAAGTGTGTGGGTAGGAACACACCAGAGGCTCCCGCGCCCTTCCCCTGACGGGGCAGAGCATAAGGAGGGAGAAACCACAGTCCCAAGCATGGGGACACAGTGCCCTGAGCTGTGGCCAGCGTGTCCAGGACTGCAGCTTGGCTCTGGGCCCCCTCTCATTTGGAAGTCTCCCTAATTTAATTAAGGGTCTCTACGTGCCTGCCTGCACTCTGGGCCCAGGCTCAGAAACCAAGGGCACGGCTCAGAGTTAATGAGCCTTGGACCCATTGCTCAGCTGCCATCCTGGCAGGCATGGCTGCCCTCTGTCTTCCCTCACAGGGAAGGGGACGAGAGGTCACATCCCTCCTCCCCAGCCTTTGGGCCAGGGCCAGCCTTTTTCCTCCCTACCTTGCCAGGAGATATGACCTCAACACCACCCTGTTGGAATCCCCTGGGATTCTCCGAAGGCCTCTGCCTTCAAGGAGAGAGCCTCTTCAGTCAGTCATCTATTTAACAAATATTTATTGAGTGTCTCTGTAGGCTGGGCACTGTGCCAGGCTCTCGCCACACAGAGACCTGGAAGGCCAGAAGAACACGCAATGACAGGAGGCAGAACCAGCGGCGGGAGACCCCAGGCCCAGCCCCTGCTCTGCTTCCAGGCCACTGAGTCCATTTGGGCATGTCACTTACCCTCTCTGGGCCATAGTCCTCCTTATCTAATAAAAACAGAGGACCGGCAGGGTAAAGCAGCCTGCCTCCTACGCATCTGATGAGGAGAGGGTGGGCTGAGAGGGGCCAGCTACAAGGACACATGGCTCTTGGAGGACAGCCTGTGTGGTTTACTTGCCTGTAAACATCCCCACGTCACCTCCTTGACTTGATACGTGATGCCCTACTTAGGGCTGCTGGGTGTGGCCGGTGGGGTGTGGTGTCAGGTGGATGAAGGCCTGACCACTCCTGACCCGAGGTGGCTTGGCACCCACCAGCCCTGGCCTGGTGTGGTCACCTGAGCTAGAACTTAGCTGCCTGGCTCAGGCCCCAGCTGAGGTACCAGCGAAGGGCCTGCTGGCTCCTGGCCCAGAATTGAGCCTGGGCTCTCCTGCTGGCCTGGAGGTCACCCTGGCAACGCCAGGCCCCTGCCCTTCAGAAGCATGATGTGTGGCAGAGGCCCTATGGAAGTGAACAGGGTGAGAATGCAAACTAGAGAAAGAAGGGGGCCCTGGAGACCCTGTGAGTTGTCCGTGCTGAGGGGATGCCAAAGTGATCAGAGAAATCTCAGCGGGCTTCCTGGAGGAGGTGGCTTTCCAGCTGACGCTTGCCAAGGTGAGCAGTGGAGCTCCTGTAGGTCAAGACACCTGGGGTTTAGTCCTGGCTGTGCCAGCTACTGGCTGGGTGAGACTCTGAGCCTATCACTGCCCCTGCTGGCTTTGGTTCCAACAGCTGTTAAACTGGGGAGTTGGACCAGGTTCCTTCTCGGGCTGATAGCCAGCGGTTTGAGGATAAATCCCAGCAGGAGAAGCTCCTAATTCTCCTTCAGTACTTCATTATTCCTCAAGGGCTGGCAGAGAAGCTCCCGTGGCTGTTTCCATCTACTGAGCTCCTCTTCGGGTCGTGCCAGCCACCTGCCATCTCTCCCTCACCTTCTCAGCATCCACTGTCCCCAGCCCTAGGGGCCCTGATAATGTGGGGGTCTGTTGTGCCCAGAACCCAAGGATGGGTGTGAAGAGCAAGTTTATAGGGAGACAAATTCTAGGTCTACATAATGAAGAACTTTCTAATATTGAAACCTAGTGCACAGGCTACCCCCCTACCCTCCCAAGGATGTACTGAGCTCCCCAGCCCTGGAGCTAAAGTAGGAAAACCACGAGTTTCAGAAACCATTCAGAACTGAGTGTTAGAGAAGGGAGGAACCAGAAGGTCCCAAACATTCCCCATCAGAATTTCCTGGGGGACTAGTTAGGATACATACTCTTGCACTCCTCCAACCCTGAATCAGTAGTTTGGAAAGAGCCAGCCCAGAAAGCTGCATTTTTAACAAACTCCCCTGGTGATCCAAGCCCCGGAGACATGGCCCATGGGGACCCGTGTCCTCGGGCCCGGAAACGGAGTGGGTGGGAGTCCGGATCAAGACCAGGCCCTGCCCCTTTCTCCAGGAGAAGCTCGCTGGCCCCCTGCCCTGCAGCCCTGCCCGTCTCCCTCCCGAGACCCCCTGCCTGGCCCTGCCCCTGCTCAGAAGTCAGACAGGTGTGTTTGGGTTTCTGTGCTCCTGGTTCCCCTCCTGCCCAGCCCTCTCCCCTCACTAAGCTGTTCTACATGTAATTATCCATTTTATCAGGGTGAAAGGCCCTGCAATTCACTTGTCGAAGCCCTAACGAGGCAGCGTGGATGCTTTCAAGTCCGTAAAGAAAAGGGAAATCCTGCTAGAATTGGCAACTTAATTCACCAAGCCAGCCTCGACAGACCTCATTAAGTCCCCGTGTATTCATTTCAGGCTAATGGCTGTCTTGCTGACTGCTATTTGATTTGCTGTAATAGACTTTTATGGCGTTCCAATTTGCTCAAACGTGTTTGCCTGTGTCTGTGCCCAGCAGCCCCGCTCCACTACCTCCATTAGGGGTGTGTGTCCGCCTCGCTGACCTTCAGCGCTACCCTGTCCCCTGTGTCCTCCTGGGGCCACCCCTCCCCCACAGCCCTCCAGGTGTGCCCCAGAGAGGTGACCCTGGGGCTGGGGTGTTGAGGCTGGAAGATGGGTACGAGTTTAGAAGTCGGATGGTGCCGGGTGGCTCCTCGGATCAGGGAGTCAAGGAGGGCTTCTGTAATCTCAGGGACGGCCGTGTCCTTGAAGTTCTGACAGGTTCAGCCACCATAGCTGGGCAGTTGAGGCTGTTATCCACCTGGCCTCAACCTACCTTTCTCGCCTTCCCTGCCGGCTTCCTCCGCGTGGATGGCGCTGTCAGCCCAGGGGCCGATTCAGTGCCCAGAAGCCTGTGTCTGCGTCTCTCTTTTCTCTTGCTCCAACACACATACATTGTACTGTTCTAACTGGTACTGGAGTGTTCTCTTTCCTCTCTCAGCCTGACTCAATTCTGCCGGTCCTTTGAAGCCCAGAGCTGACCCACCGTGCCCTGATCCACTCCCAATTTTTATTTTTAAACGAACACAGCAAACACTCGCCGAATAGCCATGGAGCAAGGCCCACGGATTCTGAGCTGACTCGGATGTGTAGGGTAGAGTAAAAGGACTTTCCCATTTGCCAGCTGTGCAACTTTGGATGGTGACTTAACCTCTCTGGACCTCAGTTTTCTTATCTATGAGATAAGCCACACTTTTGCCTTGTGGGGTCATTGTGAGAGATAGAATAATGCAAGGGGGTAAAGCCCTTAGCCCCGTTTGTGGCTCATTGTATATTCAGTAAAATGCTGGTGACCAAGACCAAGGTCTTGTCCTCGGGGGAGATAATTTTACAGGGAGAAAGACAAGTAAGAGGAGGTCTAACTACATATAAATGTATTAAATGCCATGGTAGCTTAGGGTGTGCAAAGCAGGAGGGAAGCTCTGTGGAAGGAATGACCTAGTCTCTACACAGGGGCTATTTGTTTGGGACCTCACAGGATGTGTAGAAGTTTGGTAGTCACAGAAGGAGATTATGGTGTCTCTGAATATCATATACTCTCTGTCCTTTAGCTTCTTTTCATATATTGGAATTTCCAAAAGAGGGAAGTGAACCCTAACCCCTGACCAGGGATCCTGTTGAAGAGGGGCCAGTGGCTGTTGGGGTATGTGTGTCCCTCACTGGTACCCAGTGTTCCCTTGTGGAAATAGAGCTGGGCTGGGAGTAGGCTCCCTGGGTCCCTGCCCAGGTCACTGTGACAGACAG